ACTTTGAGAACGGTCGGAACAGCCTTACGAATGATATTAGTAACCAACTCCACTAAACTTTCGGTGCTCTTGCCAAATCAATAGAAAGTACGAATTCCACATCAAAGGCATCATTCAAGAGGGATTACACCCTTACTTCAAAGGCAAATCTCAACGTATGGCTGGACCGACTGAACTCAGAGTTATCCGCGAAAGAGTTGTTAGATGTAATAGACCCTAGAGTTAAAGCCAAAAGAATTTTCGACATAGACGAGTTAGATAAAAGGAAAAGATTAGTTAGAGACGTGATCATTAACCACTTAGACGAAGACTACCACAAATTAATCCTAAATGTAAATGATCCCATAGAGATAATCACTAAAATTAGAGAGCATAGAAGGATAGAGGCTAATACGAACGACGCAATAGTGAGGGAAGAGCTGTATAGCATCAAATTAAACAAGAAGGACAAGGTTTCCGAATTTTTAGATAAGTTTGACTCGATCATAAGAGAATACGAGTTATGCGATACAGCTATTCCACTCACGGATGCTGAGAAAACGTCCGCGTTCATGAAGGCCGTAAAAGATGCATACCCGCGAATTAGAGAGATGGAGATAATAACAAAAAATACCAAAAATAGAGGAATGACATTAGAGGAAATGAAAACCTTTGTTCGACAGTTAGAGGCTGACATTAGAGGGTCCAGCGGAGCAGGAGCATCCGCAGTTTCTGCAAGCGTGGCTAGGGCCGGGTCGGCCAGGACTGGTTCCAGTGGGACCAACAAGTGCTTCCGATGTGATAAGCACAATGTGGACCACCTCTCGGACACTTGCCCACTGGTCCAGTTCGGGCTGTGGTTCTGCTACGTTTGCAGGGACTACGTCTCGCACACCGGGAGAACGTGCCCCCGCCAAAACCAAGCGAGTGGATCGCGAGGAAATGGGTATGATAATAGAAATAAAAATGTTAATAATAAAGGATTAAGAGGAAAAGGGTCAAATAGAGGTTTTAGAGGTAACGCTAATAGAGATAATTATAAAAGAGGTAGAGGTAAAAACAATAACTTTAGAGGGCAAAATAGGGGTAGAGTAGGAAAGCGAGGAGCAACTAGATATTACTATCCCAGCGGAGACAGCAACAAAAAGAAGTTGGTAAATGCAGCAGTCGCTCAAGTTGAAGGTAAGAGCAGAACAAATAATCAATGTAATAAAATAACATTTTTACTGGACTCTGGTGCAACAGAGCATATTATAAACAAAGCGTTTGTCCTGCAAAACCTTAAAAGAAGCTCGGGAACCTACATTAGAAGCGCAAACAAAAATAGGTCAGCCGACATAGAAATAGACGGTAGAGGCAATCTATATATAAAAGATTTAAATAACAAAGATCACATTATTAGACTAACAAACGTTGTATCTGCCCCAAACATATCTGAAAACTTAATGTCACTTAGAAAATTCGCTGATGCAGGTTTCGGTATTTACTTAGATGACATAACCTTAAAAATCTTCGACAAAAACGATGGTTCTATATTCTTAACCGGTTATTATGAAAAACCAATTTGGCTGATTGAACTAGAAGTTACAAATAAAACTGAAAATCCTGATAATCAAACTTACGATAAGTACGTCTGTAGAGCACAAATGATTACTCTGGGAGATCTCCCCAATCAACAGTCAAACGTAGAAATAGAAATAGATAAAGCAATCGCGAATTCAGAAATTGGGAGGGAGACAGAGTTAAGAGAACTAATACCTGAGTTCAGCCAATATAGACATTTTGAGAATTATACATTAGATGATCTGAAAAATGACGAACCCGTAGATGATTTATTTACTTCGTTCGAGTTAGAGAAAAGATATTCAGAAGAGTTAGATGAAGGGATGTTATGGCACGTTAGACTAGGACATCCTTCTTACGACTATCTATTAAAATTACAAAAAGAAAATAAAGAGCTAACTAATGTAAAATTCAATGAGAATATTAAAAATTGTGAAACTTGTGTAATGTCCAAAATGAGCAAACAGCCATTTAAAGAAGTAAGAACTAGAGCTGATCATCCTCTTCAATTAACTCACACTGATATAATAGGCCCGTTTAAAACAATCACACATCCTGGTCGTAAAAGATACATTATAGTTTTCATAGATGATTATTCAAAATTTGCCAAAACATACGCTATAGTTAATAAGTCCGAAGCAGGAGATTGCCTAGAAAATTATTTAAATACAATGAGAAATCTAGTCGGAAAGAATCTTAGAGCTTGCTATATAAGGGCTGACAATGCTAGAGAATTCACTGGAGGTAAATTTCAAGAAGTAATGAAACAAGAGAAATTAGAGTCAAACTTTTCCAATCCATATACACCTCCTCACAATGGTACTGCTGAACGATTCAACAGAACCATATTAGAAAAATTGAGATCTTTAATGATAGATTCTGGTTTACCAAAGTCACTGTGGAACCTAGCATTAGAAGTAGCTGTAGATGTTTACAATAGATCCCCTAACTCGTCCATAGATTATAAAAGCCCCTTAAATATAATATCCCCTGATAAGAAAAGTCATTTAGAGAAAATCAGACGGTTTGGTTGCATAGCCTATGCAAGGAAACCGATATCTGAAACCAAATTATCAGAAAGGGCAATTAAGGGAGTTCTAGTAGGACAAACAAGTAATGGATATGTCTTATGGCATCCACAATCGGGAAAACTAATTCTAACCAAACACGTAAAATTTAGAGAAAAGTTAACTTATAAAAACATAGATAAAAATGACGAAATTACTAGAGAATACAGTGTAAATTCAAATTCTGATTCTGATGAATGCGATATTGAAACACCGGAGAAAATCATAGATGTATTCGATACTTATAATTCAGAACAATCAAATTCATCAAGCAGTTTAGAGTCAAAGTCTAAAGATCTAGAGAAAACCAAAGGTAATAAAAGAAAATTAGCAACAAATATCGAACCAGAAAGTCAGACTAGAGTACAGCCTAAAAGAGGTAGTAAAGTAAAACGAGATTACAAAGCTATGGCTGAAGGAAAGGCTAATCTGGTAGATAACAGTTTTGCGTTCTTAACCTAATGTAACGAAATTGAAGTTGTAGGAGAAGACGAAAAAGGCTTCTGTTTAATGGCAACAATAAACTCAGATCCGACTAATTATAGAGAGGCAATGGAAACTGAGGATAAATTGAGTTGGCTAAAGGCAATAGACGATGAACTAGAGTCCATGCGAGAAAACAATGTCTGGAGTATAGTGAATAGACCTACGGTAACTTTAGAAGGAAATAGAGCTAACATTATCGATAGCAGATGGGTACTTAAGAGAAAAATAGATTCGGATGGAAAAACAACTTTTAAAGCTAGACTAGTAGTTAGAGGATTTAAAGACACTAATGAATATGAACTTAGAGAAACCTATGCACCTGTATCGAGATTAGCTATAATTCGAGCCGCGTTTGCTATTATTAACAAATTCGACCTCGAAGTTTACCAATTAGATGTGAAAACCGCTTTTCTAAACGGTGAATTAGATGAAGAAATATATATGGAAATCCCTGATGGAGTGAAAATAGATGAACAATCGAAAGTAAACAAAGTCTGTAAACTGCATAGAGCAATATACGGTTTAAAAATAAGCCCCAAGAAATGGAATCAAAGGTTTTCAGTAGAGGTAGAAAAATTAGGCTTACAAAGAGATATAAATGAACCCTGTCTGTTTACGTACAGAAAAAAATGGCAACATGGTATTATTGATTTTATATGTAGACGATATATTACTAGCAGGTAATGATTTAGTCAAAATGAATGCAATTAAAATTCACTTAAGCTCAGTATTCAAAATGAAGGAATTGGGAGAACCCAAAGAATATTTAAGCATTCAAATAACTAGAGACAGAAAAATTAAAGAAATATCACTAAATCAAAGTAAATACACAGAAAAGATTTTAGAGAGATTCGAAATGAAAGAGAGTAAACCGCAAAATACTCCCATGATTACTAGACAAGTTAAAACTAGAAATAATAAAAACTTAGAGAAACCAGAAAACTTTAGAAAACAGGAATATCCTTATAGAGAAGCAATTGGCTGTTTAATGTATCTTGCAAATGTCACGAGACCCGATATTTCATTTGCTGTGAATCTATTAGCCAGAAAGCAATCCAATCCTTCCCTTGAAGATTGGATAGACGTTAAAAGAATATTAAGATATCTTAGAGTAACTTCAAATCTGGGTTTAACCTATAGAGGCAATGGCGAAAATTTGGAAATATTTTCTGACGCGAGCTTTAGAGACAATATAGACTCATCCTCAACAAGTGGAATGGTTGCTCGCTTATTTGGAGATTCAGTTATATGGAGGAGCCACAAACAAAGTGTAGTAAACCTTTCGACCTGTCACGCAGAGTACTATGCGATGAGCGAAGCCTGTCAGGAAATGATTTCTTTAGATAAGGCACTTAAAGATATGTTAGGAAAAACGATGTATCCTATAATAATTAGATGTGATAACAAATCCTCTATTAGCTGCACACAAAAGGAAGGGAACCATAAACTAAAGAACTTTGATGAACAAATTGATGATATCGTTATTAATTTAGAGAATAGAGAAAGAACTGGAGTTAAAAACAAACTGTCTAAGGTGCATAGGGACTATATTAAACAATGTGTTTCTGAAGGAAAAGTAAAATTGATATGGGTATCCTCAAAGGAAAATTTAGCTGATATCTTTACAAAGCCTCTTTCTTTTGAATCCTTTAGAACACTTAGAGATGATATACTTAATATGTAAATTGTGTATGCAATTTTGTCTTTGAATTGATTTACAGAAACAGGTACCAGTAAAGACCAAGAGTGAGTAATCCATGTCTTCGAGTCGTGCGTACGCTCACAAGGGAGGGAGTGTTGATTTTGCTTGTGTGCGTGCGCACGCGCTCAACGCCATCTGCCGTGCCTTAAGACAGGCAGTCTTACTCTTCGCGCCCATTCCTGTTCCAGCTATCGCAACGACAAGAAGCCAAGACTTTGCTTTTTCATTTAGAGTGCCTCATTAATTTAATTTGTACTTAACAATAAATTGTATTTTTGTGTTCTATTCAAAACTAGAGTTTGTGTGCTTAATTGTATATATTCCCTATCCAACAAGTCGGAAAAGAATCGACGAAATAATCGATTCTTCACAAAAAGAATCGACTACTTTTTTAGGAATCGACTGGAATCGAACACCCCTACTTTCTAGTGAATCTAGTGTTCTATAAGAAGTCTGAAATAATACTAATAAGAAGCGTCTATATTCGTTGATAATAATGACTGCTGTTAGTTCATTAAAGTATTTTTTTGTAGATATGGTTTTATTATTTTACTACAATGGATCATGAAGAAGAATTTTTAAATATATTTTTTACTCAGATTACTCAACTATGTTTTGATAAAGCCAAAGAATTAGTTGTATGAAACATTTATTATTCCATAATAGGTTTACGATATTCAATAACTTTTATTCTATCATTTTAAATGTAATTTAGGAAAAAGAGCGAGAATCATGCAAGTCAACGCAAATGGGTCCCTGGGGAATGTTATTAATGCATCTTCCTCAAATAGCTGTTGCAGAAAGATCTTATGCTGATTTAGGGTTTTTACATACTAAAAATAAAGGATTTCTTAGAAAAGATGTAATATAATAATATTGTTATTATTAATTATCATAAATAAGTTGTTCATTTTTTATTCATTAGAAATAATTTTAGTAATTACTCTATTTTTACAGAATTCTTTAAAAACAATGTATGAATCATTGAAAGCTGATTTGAAAAGAGTTGAAGAAATGACTCGTGGTACAAATTCTATTGGGGCTACTGTTGCAGAAATATCTAGTCAATTATGTCAATTTATTAATGCAAGAACTCAATTAATTGATTTGTAAGTTTTAGGTTTTCACTTTTACCTATTTAAAATATTTTTCATAAATTTCACTCAATAAATCTTATTCTAGTTATGAAAAAATGTATAATATGAGTATTAACAACAAGGTAATGCGACATCAAGAGTTATTACTTTCTATAGAAGGGTTAATTGAATGTCATTTACATTCTTGTTCACATATTTCTCTAAATACTATAAAAACAGCTATAATGTAAGAAAATAATTTTATCTAAGAATGAATATAATGTTGTTTGTTTATATTTGTGAGATTGACTTTTCAGGTTGGAGTGTGAAATTTTATCGCATTTAATAAGAGCATATATTGAAATTCAAAATTGGAAATTTTTGCCATCTTTAATGGCTCTGTATGGTGTACAAACCCGCATGTCAGCATGGGAGAGAACTTTACAAAATAGAGAAGTAAATACAGTTGATAAAATTTACTAAAATTTATTGCTATACTATATTTTGAATTATTTTTATTGTTTTTTGTAACATTAAAAATTTCTAGACTTGGAAACTTGGATTTGGAGCTACATTTTTAAAAGCTAATCAACAACCAGCACTTTATCAATGGTTAATCAAATTGAAAAGTGCTATACTAGCTAAATTTTCTTTATATTTTCATGTGACGTTGAGCCAACAAGCCAGTTCTGGAGAAATGAGAAGTATTATGAGTAAACAAGCAATTGACTATTATCATAAGTAAGTTTAATAGTTTTTTTTAAATTATTGCAATACAGTAATTACATAATTAAATATTTCTACAAGATTCCAAACGTTCCAAAGAAAGCATGACTTATTAGCAGCAGTTCTTATTTTTGACTCTAGAGGCATGCAAGATTATGGACCAGGATATCAGCATCCAAAAAGAGATTGTGATAACCCTGATGATTTTTCAATTATTCTTAGCATCCCTCAGGTTAATAATATCTAAAAACTATTATTGTGACAAAATCTAAAGAAAGGGCCAATAATTTTTAAATCTTTTGATGTTTGCAGAATTTTAGTCAAAAACCATTTACTCACTGGGATATAATGAAGAAGAATATAAAAGAACGCTATGCAGATCTTATAGTTATGGATAAAATTATTTTTAGCCGAGATTCTAATGTAAGAGATTAATTTAGATAAACATATTTCTCATCTATTTTATATAAAATATGTCTATTTTAGAATTTTAGGATATACGCCATGCATAATTTAGATCCTCGAGTAACTTTTGTAGTTGTTTATGAGACCTGTAGTAAACAAAAAGATAAAGATGCACATGTAGTAACATTCATAACAGATGTATGTCTACAGATGAGATGTAACAAAATTTTTGAGAGTCTTAAACTGACTAAATAAATTTTTGATAAGTTTTTTAGTCTGGCATATATGGAAAATTTATTTATGTGACCATGTGCTATAATGCAGTTTATTAGGTAATATATAATTTATGAATACAGATATATGAAATATGCAATAAGATGTTACTTTTTTACACGAGATATAAAAACTTATTTATTCTAAAATATATTTTTTATTGGATTCAAACATTGTCTGTTTTTTATTTATTAGTATCAGCGCATGAATTTAATATTTCTTTTTGATGTTATTAATTGTTGCGAAAAGAAAAATTTTCGCGTCATTGGTAGACATTCTTTCTAATTGATATCAGCCGTCGACAGCTTATATAAATGATGATTAATAGCTATAAATTAAATTGATTAGGAACGAATATATTACTTTCAAAAACGAATTTGTTTTAAAGTCTATCCAATTAATTTAATGGCACTTTTAAATATTTCTGATTGGCCGGTACCAACGCATGTATCATATTTATTTATTTAAATTCACCAAATTTTTACTACATAGTAAAACTTGTAAAACTTACAAAGGTACACATATACGCAAATGATAGTTACAAATAAAAACTAAGTAAAAATAAAAAAGGAAAAATATTAAAGCACAGAAATTGTTGTATAATTACAATTTATTTCTGCCATCCGTCTTCGTGTAATACGCTCATTTTTAATAGCGTAGTCGTATTATCCTACATCTATTTTTTTTATTAAGTTTCTCTACCTTTTTCTTAATTGTTCATCTTAGATTTTTCATAATACTGCTAAATTTTTGACATATTTTAAAAGCTACATATTTGTGACTTCTTAAAGTAATAGTTTTGTTTACTCTTGACAATGATTCTGTGGCTAGGTTGTATAGTTCTCCATTATTGTTTCCAGTATAAAGTGCTCCTTAATAGATGCATCAGTATAGTATTTGTATACCGACAAAACACTAACTGGAGAATATTGAGTGATATAATGGAATCAACATGATAACATATACCCTTCTGAATAGACTTTGCAAAAGCTCGGCTTAGGCTTAAGCCTGATCGAAGCTTGGAGATCGAAGCTCAAATTTTCACATTTTGGCTCATTTGAAACTAAGGAATTATTTTTACCAAAATGCGTGCAAATGTTTACTATCTATGCCCAGTTGTACTAAGTTTTGCAAATGGTTGATTCTCAATTTAAACTATACAACCAATCTGATTCGGAGATTCAAATTCTATAAAAAAAATCTTTAAAAACAATTTTCAAACTTATTGATTCTTGTTATTGCATAAGGAATCTCCTCGAACCTCTGATTAGAAAAATGTATGATCACGTGAAATACTTGTAACTCCTAAATAAGTAATAGTAATTGAAAAGAAATTTCCAATACATTCATATATTTTTCTAGAAATATTTGTGATAAAATTATAATACATTAGCTATATAATTAGAGCGGGAAAGTAAATTCTTGTCTCATGTGAGGCTTACGACCGAGCGGAGTGAAGATGGAAATGCACGCGAGACTAGAATCTCTTTGCCGAATATGTTAGATACGATATTTTTCGACACTCCGTACAAAAAGTACGTACTTTACGCTCATGCAGTCAAAAATAAGCTTTTCACATATCGTATCGAAATAGTACATTATTAACCAAGGGAGTGAAAGTATTAGGAAGTCCACAGCACATGTAAATTGACACCCGAGGCGAAATCTTTAATGTGTTAAATACGTATTAAATACGTCTTAAATACGTGTTAGGGGCTTGCCATTTTCACTCCCGTAATTAATATACTATTTTTTTGCCTACAGCTCGTAAAATGCTGTAAAAAAAAGATTCCCGCGTATTTTTTCTCCCTTCGTTCGAGCGTAAAAGCCATATGAGACGAAAATCTACTTTCCCGCACTTGTTATTTTAAAATGACGTGTATAGTAAACGTAAATTTGAGCGTATCTTTTTCGACAAGCCTACTGTAAAATTGTACTTTCCGCACTAGGTGTTTAAAAAAATATGTAAGTCCAACCCGAACCTAGCAAACAAAACATAATGTTAATTTACATTTTGAGTTGGTAAGCTAAATTTTTCATGAAATTAGTTTCGTAATGCTTCTACCACGGTTTCATTCATTATTTGATAATCGGAAAATACATTGATGTTTGTAGTGCTTTCCCTGAAAAATACTTGGATATATGTACTTTTTCGACACTCCATGCACAAAGTGCGTCTTTCCCGCACGCTCGGCAGAAAACGTGCGTTGAAAAGCGCACTTTCCACACATCGTATCAAAAAATACGGTACGGCACATGTTCGGGAAAGAGTTTCTCGTCTCGTGTACCTTTCCACCCTCGCTTTGCTCGAACATAAATGCCACGCGAGACAAGAATCTACTTTCCCGCACTTTTATCGTAATGTACTATTTTTCTAGTTCTGCTCCAACTTTTATAAAACATTTTCAGCTCAAGCGCTAAAACTAAAATTTAGCTTCGGATACGATTAATTGTCAAATAATGGAAGATATATGTATTATTACTTTCAATTTTAATTGGAAGTTTCGTTATAGTACATTACGATACAAGTGCGGGAAAGTAGATTCTTGTCTCGTGTGGCATTTACGCCCGAGAGAAGCAAGGGTGTTAAGATATAATGTACTATTATTTTGACGAAAAGCCAAAAATGGCTTTACGATAAAGAAGAAAGGAAACGTGTAACAAAATGTAATATGGGGATACCGCTATTCTTCAGTCATTTTGTTTGTCAGCGGCTATACCAATAGATGTTTTTTATAATCTTGAAATGTCACTCCGAAAATTGGATCTTGATGTATATGAATAATACTGTAAAGTGACGCCATTGCCTAATTTGAAAATAAATGTACTTACGCCTGAATCCACGTATCGATGAAATATTGTTTTAGAAAAATAGGTGCAGTCTGGTAAGCATAATGATTGTCACGCCATCGCCGCGCAATGATTTTACATGATAAGATAAGTAGTAATTACTAGGAGGCAACTGTCAATAGTTTTTATTAAGTATTGTATTAAAAGTTATAGTTCATAATTGCGATACAAATTGTTTACGTATGCACAGAATAACCAAGATTTTTTCAGATCCGAGCCACTGAATCCGCATTAATTTGTTATACTAAGACACTTGATTTAAAATTGTTCGACTGAAGAAAGAATTAGCCGCTTTGTGATGTAATAGATACGTAAGAATCATTGTACGATTCATTTCATTGAGTGACAAGAGAAAATAGAAATATTAAATAATCAATTGATTTGAAAATAGAGCTTAGAAAAATGCAGTAAGAAAATGTTGGAGAGAGTACTGAAACAATCGGTGCAATTGTAGGTATTGCAGTAGCATTAGCAGTCTGGATTATCCGTACGTGGAACATTGTAGAATTGAATGAACGTTCGATCGATCGCAGAGTATAGCATTTCCAAACGATCAATCTAGACGATGAAAGGGAATGTGCGATGAAATAGCACGATACGTAGCGGTCTGTAAAGGAAGAAAAAAGCAGATGAAATAAACGTGATAAGAAAGAAGCTAAGAGAGCGTCGGGGCAGAAAAAAAAGAGAGCGTTCATTGTGGATAAAGAAAAGCGCATCGCTGTTGAAAAAATGTCTACAAAGAGAGCAACTATCGCGGAGCGTATGAATGAACAGTGGTTGTTTTGTCGATTGGCGATGGTCGGCAAAGTTCTAGAATTTTTGATACATGAGAAAATTGGCGTTCATTAGCCCGTGGTGTGGCCACAATCGAATCACGTGGCGATGCACGCATCGTGGAAGGGGATCCACGGCCCGATCCCGCTTAAAAGCGCACGTGCTCTGGCGCGCTCGTCAATCGCGCCCGAGCACTCGGTACAAGCCTGCCTCAGCTTGACGACGCGCACGATCTAGCCGCAATGGCCACGCCACCGAAGGTCCAAGTGACCTCGTCGAAAGTCAAGTACACGGCGGACAGCATCGTCGCGGAGTACGAGTACCAAACTTCAAGGGTGACCGCTCGGCAAGCGGCAGCTCCGCACTACTGGGTAAGTGTGCCGGGCGCCCGGACCGGCGCTCGGTCGCGAAGGGAGCTGCTCTTAACGAGGCCTCGGTGTGCGCAGGTGAGTCCCGAAACGACCAAGCTGCTCATAAGGACGGACGCGAGGCTGCCGAAGCTGGGAGTGATGCTGGTCGGATGGGGCGGAAACAATGGAAGCACCATCACCGCGGCCCTGCTAGCCAACAAGCTCAAGCTCTCGTGGCAGACGAAGGACGGCACGAAGCACGCCAACTGGTAGGCCAGGCGCACAGCCAGCCAGCGAGTGCAGTGGCTAACCGGTGCGGGCTCGCGCGCTTGTCCGCAGGTACGGCTCGCTGACCCAAGCCTCGACCGTGCGCCTGGGCAGCGATGGCGCCGAGGACGTCTACGTGCCGATGTCGCATATCGTGCCGATGGTCGAGCCCGACGACATCGAGCTCGACGGCTGGGACATCTCGAGCATGTGCCTCGCCGATGCGATGGCCAGGGCCAAGGTGCTCGACATCGAGCTGCAGAGGCAGCTGAGCCCGCACATGCGCGACATGAGGCCCCGGAAGAGCGCCTACTTCCCCGACTTCATCGCTGCCAATCAGGCACGTGAGAGCTGCGACCGCCAGCCGGCGAACGAATAAACGAGTGGTCGGTTGATTGCTTGCAGGAAGCCCGAGCGGACAACGTGCTGTCGGGTACGAAGAAGGACCAATTACGGGCCATCAGGCAAGACATCGACAGCTTTAAGCGCTCGAAGAAGCTTGACAAGGTGATTGTTCTGTGGACGGCCAACACCGAGCGATTTGCCGAGGTAATCGCCGGCGTTAACGACAGCGCTGATAATCTGCTGGCGGCCATCGACCAAGGCCACGCGGAAGTGAGCCCGAGCACGCTGTTCGCCGTGGCTGCTGCGCTGGAAGGAGTGAGTATAGGCGGCCGAGTGTATCCTTGGGCGACCCGGTCAGCCAAGTAATCATCGTGGTGCTCGTCGTCGCAGTGCACCTACATTAACGGCTCGCCGCAAAACACCTTCGTACCCGGAGCCGTCGAGCTCGCCAAGCGGCAGAACACCTTCATCGGCGGCGACGACTTCAAATCCGGCCAAACCAAGATCAAGTCCGTGCTCGTAGACTTCCTGGTGTCCGCGGGCATCAAGCCCGTGTCCATCGTCAGCTACAACCACTTGGGCAACAACGATGGCTACAACCTGTCGGCACCGCAACAGTTCCGAGCGAAGGAGGTAAGCAGCGCCGGCGAATGCGCCTCTCCGCTGTTAACGAATTGTTATCCCCCCCCCCCCCCCCCCCATTAACGACCGCGCCCTTCGCAGGTGTCCAAGAGCAACGTGGTCGATGACATAGTGCGTTCCAACCGGCTGCTCTACGGAGAGACGGAGAAACCGGACCACTGCGTGGTCATCAAGTACGTGCCTTACGTTGGTGAGTGCGCTTCGCCGAGGGCTGCCCGACGGTCGCGAGCAATTTCTCCGTTAACGAGTCGCACTCTAGGTGACAGCAAGCGTGCCCTGGACGAGTACACTTCGGAGATCTTGCTGAGCGGCCACAACACCATAGTGGTACACAACACTTGCGAGGACTCGCTGCTGGCCAGCCCGATAATCCTGGACTTGGTGCTGCTGGCCGAGCTCTGCGAGCGCATCGGCTTCAAGCGCGCCGACCGCCCGCAAGACCACTACACTGGCTTCCACAGTGTGCTCTCGATCCTCTCCTATCTTCTCAAGGCGCCGCTCGTGCCGCGCGGCACCCCCGTCGTCAACGCCCTGTTCAAGCAGCGCGCCTGCATTGAGAACCTACTCAAGGCTTGCGTCGGCCTCGCCCCTGAGAACCATATGCTCCTCGAGTACAAGATTCAACTCGACGACTAGCGCTCATCCTACTTGGGCGCCTTTCACCTCTATCAGTTTTCGCCTTTGCCTTCTCTTTCTCCTTTCCTTCCGTAACAATATTGTCAAACGCTCCATATTTATTTCTTATCTATCTTGGATCTAATAAACGCAGTCGAATCTTATCTCAATATTCTAATAATCTTCCGCCTTTCCTAAATATAATTATTGCTTTGTCTTTCAACATCGTTTCTTTTCACATTCAACATACTCTAGCTGTAAACAAGCTCTTTTCTTCAATTAGTGAATTCTCCTTACAAATATCGAGTAATTTAAGACTGAAACCTTTTGAAAAGAAAGAGACAAGCAATGTGATAATAGTAAGCTGTATGACTATCAGAGCTCTACCGTGTCAAGTTGTAGGCTTTATAGCTAAATTATTATTTCTTAAAAATATGTAACGCCTATCATTATGTGTTGTTGCTGTTTTATCAAGTAGTTTCATTAATATTGAACTACATTTGGTTTTCACTAATAATGATAACTTATATACATATATATCTCCAATAAAAGTTAAATATATTTAATACGTATTTAAAAATAATCATAAACATTTTAAAAGATATAAAATTTCTAAACATTCACGGTTTTTCACAAGTTTTTCTTGCGTTATTATATGTACCATTATAAAATGGGAAGTTTAAAATCATTCAATGAAACGTGAGCGATATATTTTTTATTATTTATCTCGCATAATTCCTACAAATTTATGTTTACAATGCATCTATATACTAAAAATATAAATAATCAAAACAATATATACAATAGCTAAAATCGCAATAGGACGTTCGTTGCTCAAATATAAATTTACATTATAACGCAACTTCGTTAGAGTTTCATACTTTTGATACAGGAGTTTCAGACTGTTGCACTTGAGCACTACATATATATATTTGTCGGGAATTTACTTTTTATAACTTTTAGGAACAAAAATACTCGCTACGAGTGAGTATCACTCAAAATAAAACTTTTAATAAGCATACTCAAATAATTTGACTAAACTTGAACAGACTATTTGTTTTGGAAGCTTATGTATAATTACTATATTTATTAAATACTATAATTTTTATCAAAGTTCACTCTTAACGAGGTCGACATACACAGATAATCGTAGCCATTAAACGCAATTCAAAATTATAAGAATAATTACTATTGTTGAAATAAAGTATTAATAACTGCAGTCTTTGATTAACGCAACTATGAATTGCATAAACAAATTTTTCTTATTAGCATGGAAGACAGTATAAAAGTTTCTAGTAAAAATGCTTACTATATATCCTATTTGAATTTACATGTATCTTATCAATTCCAACTAATAATCGCACTAAAACGATTTATTGATTTCATTGAAAAATTTGCCATTATACGAAAATTTACGATATACATTTATAAAGTTTATACATACTACTGAAGTTCATTAGTTTTGATTTCAATAAGTTTTACATATTTCAGTCACGCAGTCGAAACATCTGCCGTTACTTTATTTTAATTATACGTATGTTATAATGGTAAAAATGTCTTTTTAATAAGAATCTTATCCACCTTGAATGCTTACATTATTTAATTGTAAACGTGAATATTTTTTTAAATCTTCTCTTTTTCGTACCAATGAAAATGCTGTCGTTGTTTGATTGAATTAGATTATTGAAACATGTAATTAATTATTATGAGAATCAGAAACAAAGCCTATTATTTATAATGTAAAATATAAAATTATAAATTATAGATATATAAATTATAAAACGTTTTGTTATTATAAAAGTATAACGTTTTATTCGAATAAATTTGATTTTTATTAAGTGATATTCGTATTTTATGGCTTAATATAATCAACTCTGAATAATTTGCTTATAATTACTTGAAATTCAAAAGCTCAATGCAATCAATTTGACCTAATGTTGTTTGGTTGTTTGTTTTTAATATTTTTTTACTGTAGCCACGTCTTTCTTGTTCGTTTTATTGCTATTATCATTAATTTCTGTCGAATTCATTAATTACATACATATCAATATAAATATTTCATCATTAATATAAATGGAGTCATCGAAAAAAACCATATACTGTTAACTTAAAACCATCTTGTAAGTGCGTAGAGTTTTATTGAGTCCTTCATTATTGTATCGATGTGAAAAAAAATCCACAACGTTCATATACTATTAATAAAGGATGCTTCCAACTTTGCTAAATGATCACGCCTACAGCATATACACTAATTGTAAGCTATTTTAAGTAGGTTTTAAGAGATTCATGTAAAATATTCAAAACGTATGCACAGTACTGAAAATCATCATATTACTGGAAAAAAAGAAACTATTTGAATGAATTGTTGATTAAGTAGATGAAATTTGTTGATAAGTAAAAGCTCAATCTTTCTCTTTAATTTAAAAATTATTATATTCTAACTTCAAGAAAATTTAGTGTTCATAATGATATATCTCTTTACTATGCATGTCAAATTATTAAAGACCGTCTACCTATAAATAGCAAATACATATACCAGTCTTATTCATAAATAATTTGTACATTTGCCTTTATAATAATTAAATCACTTTCGTAACTCATCAATGTTTATGGTTTTAAATGAATGTTTATGGTTTTGACGGAAAAGATGCCGTTGAAAAATCTTTTTAAATAACAATATACAAATGTGCACTATTATAGCATTATACTTACGATCATGACATGGCATATTACTCTTAAAGTAGAATGCGTTTATAAATGTACAAAATTGTTCGTAATTTTTATGCAAATTAGGTAAAATTTACAACAATCAATAACCGTAGGGTTGGTCAACTTTATATTGTATCTTATGGGGTAGACTTTTTACGTATTTTTCAGAATAATTGTTTGATAAGAAAATGACAAGTTCACCATAGAAATATCACTTTGAATTTGCCACAATGTTTAGTATAAAATTTACCGATCGATTGGCTTTTTTATGTTAGGCTAAAGTATGTGTATTACAAACAGTAGTGCAAATTGTAAATTCGTTCTAACCTTATTTTTGATTTAAAAAATGTTTATCAAGTACTTTTACACCCAGTTGTTAATACTTAATATTTAGTATACTACATCATTTGCTGCTTTATAAAGGCATCGCTGAAAACAAATTGTTTAACCTATTTTTTCTTTAAATAAAGGGGACTGTTCGCTTTTTTTCAGTCTAATAAAAACTTTCTGTACATGAAAGAAAAAATATATTTTAAGGTAGTTATTCGAGACCAAACGTTTTTACATTTTCTTTCTGTTATTTAAAAATTTGTATATATTATTTCTATATGAAAGAAAGATTTCATAAAATGTTGATGATATTCAAAATCTTATCAAGAAAAACTAAACATTGTTTCATTTTGAAAAAAAAAAGATATAAATGATGCGGGAACTTTACTATTTTTGGTTGTCCACATCAATGGTAAACCTTGGAAGAAATGTTTTTCTTATCTAAATATGGTTTTTCACTAAGATAAAGAAGCATCTGATGTGTTCTTCATATTTATCTCTTAATCAATATTTCGTACAAGTATTGTTAAAATTAAAATAGTAAAATTAAATTCTTCAATTATTGATATATAATAGTTCAACGTCTATTTTTATATATATATTTAACGTTAATAATTTAATTCATCCGTTTTATTCAGCTTTAATCTCGAACGTATTTACAATGATGTATTTACAAACTCAAATGGTAGAACAATAATTTAAATTAATGTACAACAACACATTTAATGATTTTCTCAATCAAACACAATGAAAAAATGTCATTACTCTGTTCTAATGTTTATAAGGAGTACCGTGATAATATAGTAACATTAATTCATAGGTATGATTTATAAAAAACAAAAAATAGAGCTACGTAGTATTCTAAAACATGATGAAACAAATTCTTTATAATTAAAAATGTTAAACAATGACTAAAATAACGGTAAAATAGTCAGTTCGGCAAAAGGTATTATAATTATTCAAATTAATTAATGAAATAAATCAATTAAGAACAAAATATATGAATAATGCATTTAGAATAATTTAGTATATTTCGATACTACTGCAAGAAAGTTAGTCCAAGAGTTAGCCCCTAAAAGTGCACGAGAAAATTATTTGTCGTAAAAACTCGATGTATCATTAATTGACTCAGGCAAATACTAGGCTAGATAGCGTCAAACTAACTATACCATACACAACATAATCAAAAATAAAAATACCCGTGTTTTTTCTTTTGTCATTTGCAATTGTTTATAAATATTATTTAAACAAATTACCTTCAATGTTACAATTTTGAAAAACAAAGTTCACCGATCGATTCTACAGAAAAAATTACGAGGAAAATCTCTACAGCATTGTTTGTAAGGGTTCAATTTGTTAGTGTAATAAAGAGTAAGAAGGTCTACGTCACATTTCAACAGGCTATACGAATAAATGTTAGCGATAATTGTCATTCAGAAAAATGTAAAGTACTAATTAGTGTCAGTTCAGATTGTTATAGAAATAGTTCTTGCCATGACGTAGATTCTGTTACTCTTTATTCTGCAATTTTTTGTTAGCATTTTACACTAACAAATTGAACTCTCACAAAAAAATGCTGTAAAAGTTTTCTTCGTAATTTTTCCCGTAGACTCGATCGGTGGAATTTTTTTTTTAAATAGTAATCTTGAGGATCATTTGTTTAAATAATGTTTTATAAAAATTTGAAAATTACAAAGGAAAAAACACGGGTATTTTTATTTTCGATTATGCTATGAATTGCATGGTCAGTTTGACGCCAACTAACCCAGTCTTGGGTACAATATATTGCAGAATTAAATTTCTGCCTATAAAAGTTAGGGCGTTTGCAAATGACGGTAGATTAAATATGACAATTTTGTGCAAAATTAATGTCAAAATTATGTATTCTGTTTTATCGCAATTTATTGGAAAACATGAATTTTGCACATTAATACCTAACCCAAGACGAATTTAGTCTAGATAATGCCAAAGTAACTATGCCATCCATTATGTAAATAAAAATAAACAGGCTTCATTTTGATGGTGTAAAATCATTACAAACAATTTCATTCTGCAGCAATTCTGAAATAGTACATTACGATACAAGTGCGGGAAAGCGAGTGTGGAAAGGTACACAAGACGAGAAACTCTTTCCCGAACATGTGCCGTACCGTATTTTTTGATACGACGTGTGGAAAGTGCGATTTTCAACGCACGTTTTTTGCCGAGCATGCGGGAAAAACGCACTTTCCGCACGGAGTGTCGAAAAAGTGATTGTTTATAACGATTTTACATGATTGAATTACAGTCTGATAGAAAACGTCAAAGAAGTATTTATAAATAACTGCGTATGACAAAACAAAAACACGCATATTTTATTTCTCGACTATGCAAAGATGGCATAATGATATTGTTGCTTCAATCAGGTCTTTGCATCAGCTTTAATGGATTAATTAAAGTTTTATTTAACTATATTAATATATAGAGATAAATCCAATACAAAAAATGCTATTAAATATAATTTGTAAGTTAAAGTTTTTTGCATTCATTAATCAGGATAGAACAGCTAATGTGTTATATTTAGCTAAATACTTATTCTTTGACGTAAATTATATTTGTATCAACACATATAATGTAAGAAGTAACTAGTAAATAAAACTTATCATGATTAAGAGGATGAAGCATGTTTTTAAACGGAGTAAATATATTGAAAGCACCTTTTATCAATTAAAGTTTCGAATTTTAGCACTTTAATAATGTTGAATTCGACTCAATCTAGATCAATGTCCTCGTTTTAGCAGGGTTTAGCAGGGCAGTCGATCTGCTCTTATCTGTTTGGACGAATGAGTTATTAAAATAGTACGTAGGTACTGTATTCCTAATAAAAGTTATTTATTGAAAATATTAGTACTCTAGTTTTCAAGTGTTTCAATAATACCAACTAAAATTTGCTGTACTTTGTGGTTTTTTTCCGATGAGAAATGTTGAAATTTACAGACTGAAAATAAATAGTAAAGATCGAAAGGACGGCTCAATTTGAATGTCCGTTGACTGAAATGAAAAACGAGAAAGAACTAAATTTAGGAAGAATTGTACTGGTATTATCTTGAATAGGCTAATAAAAAAGTTGAAATTCGTTTTCAGCAAGCCTTATAAAAGCCTGTCTCTACAAGAATCAAGTAATGCTGCTGTTTGTTGAATCGTTAATACTGACAAAATAATGAAGTTGAAAAAGCAGGCGGGTATATAATAAGAGATGATATGCGATGATAATTAAATTAATTAATTATATAGATATATAGGTTTGAATTTATCGGTTGACTGGCCAGTGTTTGGCGCTGAGCTCGGCCCACTCGACGTCATTATCGTCGCATTTTTCACCTTCAGCTTCTTCTCGTTCACCAGGATTTTGCTGCTGATTATGGTGCAAGCTATGCTCACGTAGATGATTATTCTGGTTATGATTATGATTCTGAATTTGGTTTTGGATTTGATTTTGGTTATGGAATTGGTTGTGCTGCTGGTTCTGCTGGTACTGATTTTGTTGCTGAGGCTGGTTCGGATATTGACCGAGATGTTGTTGCATTGCGCTTGGGTATTGATTATGATGCTGAATGAGATTTGGATGCTGATTTTGATGCTGCATTTGATTGTGATGTTGATTAGTCTGATTGCTGAGCACCTGAGATCCAAGAGCAGCGTTGCGGGCACGTAGCTCTGCCAAGAAATCATTTTCTTGCTGGTAGCGCCGTTGCAGCTCGTCACGCCAATTGCTACAACCGCTGTTGCTATCGTCACCATCCTCGCCAACTTCAAAATCTGCAAATACCATTGGTGTGTGCTTTTTAAATTTGTTATCTTTAATAACAATATTCACCTATATCACGTTATATTGAACCCAAAGGCGTTATCAAATCAGCTATACCTTATTAAGGAAGATGGTTGTAGCCGGTCTAAGTTATAAGAAATCCTTCGAGTGATAATTGCTATATTGTATATTTATCAAAAATTTTATTATTCAAATTAAATTGACTTTTATAAAATTCAGAAAAAAGTTCAATCCATAATAACATTAACAAGAAACTCAGTCAGATGTTTCATTTGTTCCAATTTGTAATCGTAATCATTGTATGGTCAACGCATGTTGCTTTCAATAGATCAATTCTTTAACAATTTATTGAGTATGATACATCATTTTCTCTCCAACGACCGAAAGCCGTGGTCAATTTTTACTTTAAAAAGAAATAATTATAAAAATTCGTTAAAAAGAAATAAATAGGTTTTGTTATTCTATGCACTATTCTAACTTAGAAACGATTTAAATGGAAATGTAAAACTATGTATAGTTTGTAGGTATGTTATCTAAAAACATAACAATAATATGAAACGCATTTAAGGGCGATATACATACAGCTACGCAATTAATAACCAGTAAGTCAAAATAATGAGAAAAATTTTAATATTCATCAAATTTTATTTAAGAACAAGTCTAAAAAATTGCCACAAAAAAATTAAATAATTTTGCTACTTCTTTTTGTAAACTTTCACTTAGATAAATACTTTCGTGTCAAATATCGCTTTTCAGTCTGTTTCATTCTAATTCTCAATCACAGACTGATTATTAATTGCTATATTGTAGATCTTATATTTGCTTTAAATATGGCTATGTGATTGCAGCTCCTTAAAAATCGTCAATTTTTGAAACGCATAGGAAAACATGCAAGCGTTTTATTAAGAATCGACTATAAATATGCGTGAATGTACAAAAAATGAGGATAAGTTTTATTACATGTGATGTATTAACTCTTTTAGTCAAGAACTCGTTCTTTTTGGTGGAGATTTCGACTTATTTACGATTAATTTATATAACTCTTTCTGATTATATTTTCTTACAAAAACTAGGTAATTACGAATTTACACTGATTATTCTCTTGTTAATTCAATATAATATGATTAATCTAGACGACTTACTGTTCGATAAATTTATTTGGCAAAATTTATAGCACCAGTTTTACGTCATATTCATGGTAGTAACTCATTTCTTAGACTCTTTAATATATTTTTTCATATAGATGTAATTTAAACTATTAATGTCAGAAATTCATTAACACAGCCTTGAACTTTGAAAGTTTTGCAAAAGAAGCAACTAACGAGGTAAAAAATATTGTACACAGACTTTTAAGTAAATTAAAAACAAAACGCTACTTTATAATCCACTTGTTAAAGCCTGAATTTAGCTAATAAGTGATTACAAATTTGAGTTCAAGTACATTTCTTCTTTAAAAATCATAAAATTAAGTCTACAAAAGCTGAATTTTTATTTTTAACACACCTACTCAATACTAAGTTTCAATCGAGTTGGTAAGAAACTGAAAAATATTAGGAATATATGTTATCAACTGAGTCCATTCCTATTTAAGTCGGCTGAACCGTTTTAGTTGAATTAAATTACGATCATAAATTAAAAAATTGCAATAGACACTTGAAAAAATTCAACAAGTAGAATTTAAGTTTAATAGTTTCGATTATAAAACATTAATAGTTTAAAAGTCATAAATAATGAAAGTTTATGTGCTGGTTGGTACAAATAACTTAGAAACTCAAGTCAGCTCGAGCTGAGCCGAAGTTTTACATAGAAACTTATTAGAAACGACTCTTATCTAATTGAGTTATTTAGTATCGTCTGTAATTAATCATTTTTTGATTGAAAAATCACAAGATTAAACGATCTTGCTTGAAGTAAGTGAAGTTCTGTCATAATTGTATGAGCGCCTCTTCCAAAATGATCAAATATGTAGTTAGTCCCTTCGACTCCTATCGATCTGGACGATCTTTCACAAAGTAAAAAGCTCCAAACTGATCTGAAAGTAGGTTGATATATATGCGCCGCGCTCTTTCGTTATCCGTTATTCGGTGAATATTGGTGTTTGCCTCGGTAGCTTGAAGCTTGACCGCCACTTATATATTGGAATGTCAAATTTTGAGATAATTGGAAGAAAAACGTAGGAATTTGATCGTTTAGGAAAAGGTACTTATACAATTATGATAGAACTTTATTAACAAGTAAGTTCATTTAGTCAAAGTTGTATAGAGCGCCTCTTCTTCATAATCAAACATATAGCTATTCAAAGCAGTTGCGACGGTCAATAATGTGCACATATTTGCATTTCTATTATTGGTAATGATATTATGAATAATAATTATATGACAAATAATTGATTCATAATTTACATCATCATGGATACAATTGAAGGAATTAAGAGTTAAGAATAACGTCAGTGAAACTAATTTTATTAACAGTTATTTCTCTGTTATAACATTTTGCGAAAGCGCGAGAGGATTTTGTCCATCCAACTGTGGCGTGCAAAATATCTACATCGATTCCTTTTCTTTTTTCAGTTAAGGTCGTGCCATGACGCGTAGAATGTGCGATTTCTAAATCTTCTAATTTATTTTTTACCCAATGGCTCAACGTTTAAGTTTTGGCTGCTTCATAAGATTTTTTAGAAGTAATAAGGAGTTAATCTATACTATTTTACAATTTATCGGTTTTAAAAATATAATTTTTTAAACTGAATGCCGCGCAAATTTTTTTATTGTCTCGAAAGTGCGACAAGACGAGAAAGGGTTGATTTCTATTGCGATTTGAATTTTTTTATTCTTTTTAGTATTGTGATATGAATAGCATCGTCTTGTTCTTCAATATTTTTTATTCCCTGTTAATAATTAGGAAAATGTTATGTTTAGATTTTATTTTTAAAGATTTTGATATTAGTAGCTCAAAGAACATAGGATACCAAGGTCGAGCTGGCCACTCTAGTACGACCATTATTTCTTTTGCCTTTTCATCTCTAACTTTTTGTATGCATTTCAAAATAACGGGGCAAGGCGGAAATATGTAAAAGAAAAATTCTGCTCAATCTAAAGCAAATGCGTCGATTGTAAAACAACTGGGTCTCTTTTCTAAGAGACATATTCGAGGCATTTTGAATTTATCCGCGGAGCAAATAAATCAATTTCATTAGTACTGAATGTATCAATGATGTACATAAACGTTTGATCCAGTCATTGATTCTCTGTAATTGATTTCAATCAAGATCAGTTTCTATATATTTTTTGGAAAGTTTATAAATGGCAAAGATCCTTATATGCCTACTTCACACCGAGACTAAATTAATTGTATTATTTTGTAAACGTTTTCGAATTAAACACAGTCCATTTTTTTTATATAAGCAATAGTTGCAATGTTATTTATATGTAATAGAATAAGACAAATTGACATTAGTGATACTTTTTTGCGAACGATTTTTTATAAATGAGGCTGCTAGAATATTCTAAATAATTAATGTTTTGAAATTTTTCATTCTCTTTCCAATGTCTAAAAATTTGTATTCCTCTATTGCAAATACCTCAGCCTGTTAAAGACGTATCACTAAAAATCTTGAAGTCAAAAGAATTGATTCTAGTCATTTGGTATAGTGTAAAAGACCGTAAAGTTCACTACAATAATTTATATATCTGCGTTGAAACTCTCATTTTTGCATCATAATTATTGTTATTCTAAATTAGTGATCATGACGCAATTTCTGTTGGACAACGTGATACCAAAAAGCCTAATATTTCAGCAAATTGTCTGATTGATCTGAGTTTGTTTTCGTAAAGTTTATTAATAGTTTTCTCAATGTCTTAAATTTTTTCTTCAGGTAATTTAATAGTCATAGAGTAAGAATCACAAAACAAACTAAAAAATTTACACCGTTGGTTGGGTATTAAATAGCTTTATGAATATTGATGATAAAACCGAAAAAGTTGAGTAAACATTTTGTTTCTGTGATTAATCATCATTCAAGTAGATAACTGATTCAAAACCCAATTTTCATAAGTACGCTACAAATGGTTTTAAAACTTGTGTGAATGTGAACGGTGCTGTACTTAGTCAGAAAGATAAGCACGTGAATTCATAAAGTTGATCATTGAAAAAATCTTAAGAACTTGCGATGGAACTTGTGAATTAGAATAAGATGATAAGTATCCTGTAAGTCTAGAGTTACCATACAGCAGTTTTTTTTGTCAATTAATTTTTTTAACGGAGCGACCGTCTTCTAAATTAGATGAGGTGTAAGAATTCATTTAGGTTTTTCTAAGTTTAAAATAAGTCGATGCTTTCCATTGGGTTTTCTATGTAAACATATATCAAAGATATATTGTTCTTTAGTAAATTTATATTTGTGTATAGCAGCGTCCTTCTTTTAAAGTTCTAATAATAGTATCAAAATATTAGATTTATTTCCCGTGGACCAATTGTGTTCAACTGTGGATTTTCTTTGAGCAGGAACAACTACAATTGGAAGTTTGTGACCGTCGATGCATAATAAGACAGTTTTATCAAACGTTATTTGTCTTCATTGAGCTCAAAAGAATTTTAGTCTACCGTCAACACGACTTACAGGATCTACTTTTTGTGATGACGAAGCGGTTGCTGGATCCTTCTTGGAACTCTTTCTTCGTGACAAGTGGTGCGGCAAGGTCTTCCTATCGTAAGTCTCAATGGTATTTGCGCTATCCGCTTAGTGATGATCCTTGGCCCTTCTTCAGACGACGGGGCGAACTCTTCGATTTTTCTGAACGCCTTGAAAATTTGTTGTGGAGCATCAAATCTTCCGTTATTGCTGCGATTGCTTTAGCGATTTTCATAAATACTACCAGCTTGTTACCAAAAAGAAGCGTACAAATCTCAATCACAGCTAACTTTTCTGATTGCAATATTGGTATCTGCCAATATGAAGCTCTTCCATCTACAAGACTCGTCGTGTTATACATCTGCCAAAAAGCTTCCAATATCGCCAAATGACTGAACGAATGACTAAAGCAAGCACCAGAGTGCAGCGCATATATAACAACCTACCTTTACATCAATTTTAAGCTTTTTACTTTGTGGAAAAACGGTCAGGTCGACAAGAATCAAAGAGACTACTAGGTGTTTGATCATGAGGAAAAGGCGTGCTATACAATTACAAACTTCGTTGTTAGATATTATACTAAACAATCGAAGTTGGATTAAAAAATTGATAAATTTCACACACGTACACGTGCATGCGCAGTGCGCACACACACGTATACGCACACACACGCGCGCGCGCTATTAATTCGCTATATTTCATATATACGTACATATATTTCATGTATGGACATAGCAAATTAACAATATTTATTGAAAGTCGTGACTAAAAGAGTTTTAATTATCAATAATAGAGTCTTTTAAAACTCGCGCGTAAGTTACATGCCCAATGGTAGAATAACTTAAACGAAAGATCCGTGAAAGTGAAATCGAGACACTTCAAGAATAACAGCATGTTTAACTTGTTGAAAATGATACATTACAGCGCCATATAATTAATAAGTTTAACTTTAATGGACAGTAAGTTGCATTTGAAAATAGCTGTAATCATAGAAAACATGCTGATATTAGTGACGAGCTTCGAAATAGTGAGCGATGAAAAAGAACTTACCTAAGGGTTTTTTGATGTTATGGCGGACAGAATTGATTGATCGGTCCTCCTCGTCTGAGTCTGCAATGTAGCAGTAGGATACATTCAAAGAAGGTGCATCACACGCATTCCAAAACACGTATTGCCTTTTTTATTCGATGTTTTGTCATATTATTCTCTCTGTCCCGGTCAATCGTCAGTCACAGTTTACGTCGCTTTGGATCTTTGAAATAGGGAAGATAACTGGTGATTTTACTTTGACTATACATAAAGCAACTTTAACGTTGATTTGATGAAAAGTGACGGAATGATGATGCTGATTCTAATTATTTAAGCATTAAATCTATATTTTATCTTATCAACGCTTTTATCTTCCCCACGGCATATGATCATTTGACATTTTCTAATTATTACATGTAATGATGTATTTTAGCGAGGTAAGTGAAATTGAATGTTGAGATATTATGAATAAACTAGTCGTCTGCAGTCATTAGTATTTCTAAAGTATTGACTTTTAAGTGCTGGGGTCGTTCTACGTTATAATTTAGAATATGTTTTAAAATACTATACTATTCATGTTCTCACGATAATGATTTACTTACACGCAAAAAATAAAAAAAGTGTTGGCAAACTGGCGAATACAATAAGAAAATGATCATAAGTATATTCAGAATTCTATGTTTCCTAATCTAATATAGAAATGTTTTCTTCTCTTTCATATTTTCTACGTATTTCAAAACCTAAAAATGAGATGGCACTTGATTTATTTACATTGAAAAAGCTATATATATATATGTAGCTATATATATAACTATGATAAAATATAAGGGGAATTAAGCTAACAAGGAAATGAAAAATATAAATATGAAAATATGCTCATATGAGTTGTAATCAGTATTACATCTAAAAGTGATGTGTGTGTGTGTATATGTGTCATTTTTTGTCAGAAGGACCAGCCCTTGAGTCCCATATTATATACTATTAAATAATTCGTGCATGGGCTAAAAAAATTTTGTCTTGCTCTCTACTAGTTTTCTTTATCATGTGGCATTTTCGATAATCCAATATCACATCTTCAAAATAACCGCTCAAACATAGTATGCTCGTAACATTTTTTCTAATTTGAAGGATATTTTGCTCAATATTGATGCTAAAATTTCTTCGAAACCAGAAATAGATTCAACGTTCAATTTTACATAAATATATGGTCTCACATTCAAGATCCAATTAAGATATTCAAGATCGTTTCAAGGTTAACATTGTTTTTCAAAATTTTGCTAAATTTTGAAGTTTTTTATACCCAGTACGAGTCATGAAGGTTCATTTGATTGTAAATGTATTTATAATCTCTGAAACTTGAAATGAATTCTTCCAGAAAAAAGTATAAGAAGAGCTTTAGAATAGTCAAGGTGATCTGTCTTATCGTCATAAACCTACAATTACAGTTAAATTGAGAAATGAATCTAAAATTTAAGTTCAAATTGAATTAAAAATTTTAATTAAATGAGAAATTTTCATGTAAAATATTAATTTGTGCCATAATTTAACCCTGAATGAGAGACCAGATATTTATATAAAATTGAACACTGAATCTATTTCTGGTTTCGAAGAAATTTTAACATCAACATTGAGAAAAATATCCTTCAAATTAGAAAAAATATTACGAGCATACCATATTTGAGCGGTCATTTTGAAGCTGCCATATTGGATTTATTATCGAAAACGCCACATGGCAAAGAAAATTAGAGAGCAAGAGGAAATTTTTTAACCCATGCACGAATTGAGGCATTTCACGTCAAGTCTCCCAGCGCGGCGCGCGGGCGCTCAAATACGGCACATTTCCTATAACTTCAACTCGTATTTCCACTACGTAAGCTTATCTTTGAAAAATAGTTTATAAGCATTTTCTATGTATTTTTTCCTCAGCTTTCCGATGGTGCGATTAGTTTTTCCATATTTTTTCATTAACACCGTTAAATTTATAATTGTTTATAGCAAATTGATATATCTCAAAAAGTATATTTTTAATATTTTTTTTATTGTTTCAATCGAAAACTGCGCATTTTTTTACATAGAAAAACATCTTTTCCAGGAAGTGCTCAAGTTTTATATTTGCGAAATAGAACGTGAAAGAGTAGACGCAACGCCGCGACGGCGCGCGATCCTGTAGGCCCGGGCTGTTTATTTATTGATTTCTTTTTTGGTCACTAGGTGCTGTATTCGTTAAAATTGGTTATCTGTATTTCAATTTCCACGGCAAATTCATATAAGTACGACGACTATGTATCTTATTGATATTGGAAATTTTACAAATTTCTTTCAACGGCGAGAAACTTTGTAGTAGTTCAATTCGATACCTATTCGACATTTAAGTCATCTGCACTTATTTACTTGTTTTTTCATCTGCTAATTGTAGCAACTATAATGGATTCAGCGTGGAAATTAAAATGCATAAATCCTTTGAATAAAATCAATCATTCCTCAAGCAAAGATTTATTTGATTTTTCAAACGCTTTAAGATGTAAATATTCCCAAGTATCAGAGCAAGCAAAAATCTGTGCCAACTGTCGACGGCAAGTGTACAGACCGCAACCGGATTTATCGCCATCTAATACTAAAATAGCTAAAGTAGACTATGATAATGAATATCACTTAGCAGGTGTGGCAGTTCTTGAACAAATAAAGAAAAAATTTTCAGAGTCAACAATTAAACAGGACCGAATACAATTACTTACTCTTGCTCCTGAATTTTGGGGACGCGCGGATTTGATAAGAGAGTTTGGTTGTAGTGAGTGGGAAGCTCGAAGTGCGAAAGAGTTAGTTTATAAGAAAGGAATTTTTTCATTACCTGAGAAGAAAAGCGGTAAAGCACTTACAGCTGAAACGGTGAATTTAGTTAAACAGTTTTATGAGAAAGACGATGTTAGTTGGATTACGCCGGGTATAAAAGATTATATATCTGTCAAACAAGAGAATGGCAAAAGAGAACATGTTACGAAAAGATTACTGTTAGGTAATCTCAATGAACTTTTTGCTTTATTTCAAAAGGAAAATGAAAATGTCAAGATAGGAATTACTAAATTTACTCAATTAAGACCATTGCATTGTGTTTTAGCTGGAAGTAGTGGTACACATAACGTATGCGTATGTGTACATCATGAAAATGTTAAATTCATGCTCGCTGCTTTAGATCTAGAGAATTTAACAAACAATACTAATTTTCCTCTTAAAAACTACCATGACTGCATTAAAGCACTTGTGTGTAGAAACGCAAATGAAGAATGCTATCTAACTGAATGTTTAGACTGCCCTAATATGTCTAAATTGAGAAAACATTTGTTTGAATGTTTTGAAAAAAATAATATTTACGAAATACAATATGAATCTTGGTTCCAAACTGATCGATGTACAATAGCTTCGAAAACTGTTCATGTGCATGAATTCATGGAGACACTAAGCGATAAATTAATGAAGTTAAAAACTCATGATTACTTCGCTAAGAAGCAGTCACTTTTCATGAATGACTTGAAGAAAAATCTCTTAGAGGGAGAATTTCTTGTTTGCTGTGATTTCGCAGAAAATTATGCGTTTGTGATACAAAATTCAACACAGTTTTTCCATTAGAATAACAACCAAGCAACTGTTTTTACAGTGGTGATTTATTACAATGAAAGTAATGAGCTTAAGCATGTAAGCATTGCTATCATTTCCGATAATTTAAACCATGATACTGTTTTAGTTTATGAGTATCAAAAAATTAAAATAACGCATTTTAAAGCTAGTTTCTCTTCAGTCAAGAAAATTTATTATTTTACAGATGGAGCAGGTCAACATTTTAAAAATAACAAGAATTTTTACAATCTTCTTTTTCACGAGAGAGATTTTGGTATTTTAGCTGAATGGCATTTTTATACCACCGCGCATGGTAAAGGTGTGTGCGATGGTATAGGTGCGAATATAAAAAGAGGTACAAAACGGGCAACTCTACAACTTTCTTCCAATAGTCGAATTTTGACTCCGGAAGACCTTTACAACTAGGCTAAAAATTATTGTAAAGAGACGAAAGTTTTTTATAGCAGTAACGAAACTTATGAACAAACTGTCTTGGACTTGAAAACAAGGCTAGATCAGGCTAAAATGATACCAGGAACTTTACAATTTCATGCCATTATTCCAATAGATGAAACTAAATTAATGCTGAAAAATACATCTTCTAGTCCTGAATATCAAATATTTCCAAAAGAGAAAAAAAAAAAACGAATTTCTACAGCGAAAGTATCAACTAAAGCAAAAAAAAAACCAACTAACGTAAAAAAAGTGCTCGGTAAAGTAAAGTAGAAAAAAAAGCCAATTAAAGCAAAAGAAAAGCCAAGTCAAGCAACAAAGAGTCAATTAAGAGAAAGTAAAAACCAAATAAGAAAATAGATAAAAATAATATAAATTAAGAGTAAAAGGTAAAAGTCGAATGTTGAATAGGTCACTTGTGTCACTCACAGACCGGGCCAAGTCGGCGCGCCGGATCGCGCGACGTTGCGTCTACTCTTTCACGTTCTATTTCGCAAATATAAAACTGGAGCACTTCCTGAAAAAGATGTTTTTCTATGTTAAAAATGCTTAGCTTTCGATTGAAACAATAAAAAAAATATTAAAAATATACTTTTTGAGATATATCAATTTGCTATAAACAATTATAAATTTAACGGTGTTAATGAAAAAATATGGAAAAACTAACCGCACCATCGGAAAGCTGAGGAAAAAATACATAGAAAATGCTTATAAATTATTTTTCAAAGATAAGTTTACGTAGTGGAAATACGAGTTGAAGTTATAGGAAATTTGCCGTATTTGAGCGCCCGCGCGCCGCGCTGGGAGACTTGACGTGAAATGCCTCATTATTTAATAGTATATAGTATTAGACTCAGGGGCTGGCCCTTCTTATAAAGAATGACTCATATATATATATAAATAAATAAAGAGTTTGTCTGGTCTATTAAATATATTAAAGAAAGTCCTGAAATAGTTGCGCTAAAAAATGTGGATTAAGGGAAGATTTAAACATTTACAGTAATCTCACCTGTCGCTCACGTAAGCCACTGCATAAATAAAAAATCACGAAAATCATGAAATAGGGATAACATTAGATGAATGCCATTTCTCAGTAGACATATTACTCAACTAAAAATATTTAATACATGCCACCAACATATTAAGTTATCGAAATGTAATAAAAGGCGTTTCTTTGATGTACATTATAATAGCTACGGATAGAGGTTATTTATCTTGTATTTCAAACACAAATTTGCGTGGAATATGCATTCTCACTTTAAAGAAAATCTATCTGAATTAAATGCTGTTTGTAGTTAAAAGAAAACTTCTTAGGTAGACACTTTCAAAGTTCCCGTAAATGAAAAAAGTCATTTATGTACTGTTTCAAAATGTCAAAACCATGATCGTTACTTTATTTTTTCCTCGTAAATTCATTAGAAGGGGAAATTGAAAATCTAAATCTATTTATTTTATTTATCACTGTGCATACAAAACTGAGGTTATCAGAATATCTTATTTTTTTATCTGTTGGACCAACAAAAGGAAAAAATAAGGATTTTACTGATATTCAAGCATCGAAGAGGAAAAATATTCTTGCGACGACTTCAATAATGTATACACATTGATACCTATAAGCGATAAAAACCAACAGTCATTAATGTTTATAAGCGAAATCATATTGAAATTGACTTAGATTGAATAAAACTGTTGAATACTACAAATGTCATGTGTTTGATAATATTGCATTCATGTGATGTTATGAGAATCGATCATATATTAGTTGAAGAAGGCATACCTGAATTCAATTCTCTCACTAGCGATGACATGGCGTTGGTAACGTTATCAGCAGCTATTAACAGGTCATTTCTCAGTGATCGTCCCAAACTATTATTGGCGCTATTAGAACCACTGCCGGGAAGGCTGTTTGTCCTGAACGCAGACCTAATATTCAAAATGTCTAATATTTTAGCATAAAGCCTTTCTAGTTTGCATTATTTGTCACATTCACCATAAATAATATAGTTTGAATTCATTCATGATGTTGCAAACAAATATTTTATTCAGGCAACAATAAATTATCATCGGCATGCTATTTTTTTTTCTTTCAAATTATTTATTTATTCATCTACGTAACAACTAACACTCAATCATTGCAATACTATAAAAATATTGTAATTTAGCTGTCAAATTTGCAATTTTCTCTGTTATGTGCTGTTATATTAAACAGTTTAATCGCTTTTAACATGCTATTTATTGTACATGTACATGGATATTTCAACAAAGTAAAATGCAATCATGGATAGGATATACGTATGTGGTTTTCGTTAAAGCAGGATTGAAATAAAAATAATCACCATTGATACATTTTTATGAAATGTTTACTAAACAAAAAATAACATAATAACAATTAATAAGTACTAGCTTTTATGGAATGTAGAACCGGGTTGTTCGGGCTGTTTTTTTGTTTACCGCATTCGATGTACAGTTAATTTGAAATTAAAATCTTTATATTGCGCTAAACAAACGCTTGAGACTAAAGAGCATTCGAATACTGTATATGAGCTAGATTCCCAGGAGTGTCGATTGATGGGCAAATATTTGTTTGTTATTAAATCGCACGATATTTGTAATTTATCAACAATTACAGCTATGTATTGTAATATATATAAATTAGATGCTAACTGTATATCAATTGAAAATAAAGATTGAAAGAGACTGTCACGATCAATATTGTATAAAGAAATAGTCGTAAACTTTAAATTATTAGAAATAGACATGCATATTTATGCAAGAAGCTTTCATATTTGTAATAGTTAATAATAAAAATATCTATTTATTTACGAGTGCAAAAGTAATTTTGTATTACTACAGATTTGGAATGATTTCTTAAAATTATTTACAGAATATCGCTATTATTTATGTACAATTTTTTTTTTGTTAACTGATAACAAAATAACAATATCTAGTAGTCAAATGTCTTTAAAAATAATAGATTCGCAATAATAATAACAATAATGATTATTAATTTTATTCTTATTATCATCAAAAAGTTGTCGAAATTATAACACAGAATATAAACAAATAACACGTTACGGTAAAAAATAATAAAAAGTGTTGCACAGAACGTGAGGCGCAACTTTAAGATCATATGCAGCTTGCAAATGGTATAAAGCAATGTTTATAATTTTTCGAATAATTGATAACAAAATACAGCATAAAAATGTTACAAAGGGAATTCCAGTAGCCAAATTGATTCAATAGAACAGATATACGAATGACATGCTAGAATGTACCAACATAATGATCAGTTTCGTTTGTGTACAGTACTGCTGCAGTTTTAGAAATGCATAGGCACTAAAGGCATATCGCTTAGGTACGCATCTACTAAATGGAAAAGGGTAGCGTCGTCGCAATGCATAAATATAGCTTTAATGACACCCTACTGACTACTTCTTTGCAAGGACTTAAGGTATTTATGATAACAAAGTCAAAGTAATCAATGCAGCAATAATAAAGATTTATCTACAATATCGTATGGCATTAAAATATATTTAAGAAAACTGATAGTGATAGTAAAGAAAGGTATGAGGTAGAGCATGGGGAATGACCTACCTTACATCGCCTCCAACGCAAGACAAATTGTCCGGCATTGGATTAATGTGCATAGAACCATGGACAGAATTATTCGTTGTTGACTGAGCGTTAGCGCCAACAGAAGTTGGCGGCACGGGACTTTGATAGCTCCGCGACATCTGTTGCTGCTGCTGCTGTTGCTGCTGCTGTTGGGTTGTTTGTTGCTGCTGATGATTGGACATGGCACTAAGAGGTCCACCTGGAGTTGGTGGAGCCGATCTACTGCTGGGCAGTCCACCTGGTGGTAGCGGTGGTGATTTTGTACTGCGTGGTGAACTATTTGGCGTCGACCTAGGCGACGCTTGGTGTATCTGCAAACCAATTATTCCTCGCATCATTACTCATGCTAATTCACTTATTTTAGTTACCGTATATTTTTTGTTCTTGCACTACATAAGTATTATGCAATATTGCGAGATATGTATTTTTCTAGTCAATGGTAGACCAAAAATACAACTTATATGAACCTTTAGCATTTTCATGAGCCCTTCAAGTTGAACCATAAGCTGTCTTCGAGAATCTTGCAGCGTAGCCAAATGACTTTCTAATTCATCTTTCCGTTGACGTAAAGCTCGCAGCTCCGACATGAGAGCTGGGTTTTCTAAGCCCGCGGCTTCAATTTCCTGTTGTCTCCTAGGAAAAAGTTTAACGTTTATTTCAAGAAATCATTTTGAAATGTAAATGAAGCGGTGTATGTCTGTGTATGAACAATGTTAGCTGTACTAATGTGTCAAAGGTTATATGTTAACGTTTAACATTTCACAGATTTTATTTATTAATACTGTATCGCCCTTGGCTTTTACATTTGATAAGATAACTTATGAATGCAACAAAATACCTATTTAATAGTAAAATTGTAGCAGTATTTGATATATATCTCTCTCTGTAAATATAAGCTAGTTTAGTTTTGTATTTTCTTTCTTTGAAAAGATAAATAATACTTTTCCAGTTAATAAAATGAATAATTGATCAATGTATATTTAGCAGTGTCTTTAGCATCTAATATAAACTATATATTTTATATCTATGCAACCAAGGATACACGAAGCCAAACGGAAAATTTAGAATAACATGCGTGATACTAGGATGGTCTGATAGGATGACGACGAGGTTCAGGCTCGATATAAAGGAATTCAAACGACACAGGTATACCTTAACCTTGTGATCTCGCGCATAATTTCTTTATTTTTAGCTTCAAGTTGAGATATAAGTTCTCGTTGAGCCCTTGAAGCATCCAATGATGCCAAATTAGCGTCCGATGGAGCACGGCTCTGTTTATCAATGACAAAATACTCACAAATATTGAATATACACATGACGAACATCAAGGTAAATGAAAAGCGAATACTTACGGCTTGCTCAGTCTGTGACAGTCTAGACGATGCGCGAGGCTGTTAAAAAAATCAAAATAATATAGTTAACTAGGCTGCATAATTATGTACGCTTTTATTGAATTCATTAACGACATACTACTGTTCTTGCTTCTTGTGATAAACGCTGAGCGTACATTGCTATTAGTTTGTGTTCATCGTCAAGTCTCGAGCTATCCATACTGAAAACAGAATTCGCTCATTTACTTTCTCGTAAAATATCATCTGACTGAGTTTTAAGCAAATTATTGCCTTCTCAAAGTTGAACGACTATCTAAAGAGCCGGAATCAAATGGTCCCATAAATCCTGGATCAGGAAATCCGTTATGCGAAGGTAAGGGAGAAGGTGGTCTGAAAAAAATGGCACGGTTGAGCTTAAAATGCTTAACGAGAAAAAGATTGTTGATCACAGTTGTTCAACATCTTACACAATGTGAGATAGATCCAAAGTCTTTTCAGGTTGCTCTGGAAATCTCGGTAAATTATTTCTTCCTTTATCCGGAACACACCTGAAGCTTTTCCTTAACGAATGGCCAATCTGTTTGCTTGGTGACTTCTGTTTTGAGTCAGATTATCTATGTTGTAATAATTAATTTTCACTAATTTTTAATTATTTGACATGTACTTACGAAACTACAGAATTCTTTAGTATCATGATCAATGTTATGCGTCCCGGAAACCTTTCCTTGCCAAAAACAATTCTGGCAGAGTTGATATGAATGACATTTTTGACAACGATATCTGAATCCTGTAAAGTTATCTTTGTGACATACGTCACACATAACTGGATGTGTAACTGAAAAAAGAAAATGCCACGGGTAAATACGGAGCAATATCGGTCAAAAGTAATGGTTATTAAATCAGTTTTCACTCTGAAAGACAAAAATGCTTACCAGTCTCAACTGTTGCCAATCTATGGTACACAGGCATCCAAATTAAACAACGCGGAACAGAGTCCGACATCAACGTATCCAAAAAGTCATTGACGGTAATTTTTGCATTCTAAAAGAAATTAAAAATAGAAAATGAGAAAGGACTTAGAGATACAGTTGAAAAAAATGTTGACTGTAAAAAAATACCGTTGGAAATATCATGCCTGCCAAACCATCAGAGTAACCAAAAGACGGTGACTCGTAAAGTGCAGCTGGCAATGCTAAAACCTCTTTCAGATATTCGGCGAATTTCCAGTGGATCATGTGACCATTACCGTCCGATATTTGCGAGAAGATGTCTGCAAGCAAGTGGATAAAACGAGCGTTGGGGAAATGATTATTGATTTGGACAAAATCACTTGAACTCACAACGAAACTTGTCCATGAGCTTGCCGGCACAGAGAGTAGCTAAGGCGATTTTCACCGAAAAGACCGAGATCTTGTTGTCTCTGACAGTAATAGAAAAGCAAGGTGAGCAAGCAACGAGACGACAAAAGGTAAAATGAGTGAGGTTAGCTAGCTACCCGTTGGTGTAAGCGGCCAACAGCCAGTTCATGAGCAAGGCGGTCGTAGAGTCAACTTTGGCCTGCTGCGAAAGCGGCACTCTCTTGTTGAGCGCATGGAAGAGGGAGGACAGCAGCGTCTCGAGTCGCGACACACTCAGTGTACTCGACGGCTCCAGAGTATTCAGACTGTTCTCCCGAAAAGCCTCAATCACGTTCCATATATCCACGTTGTGCACTGCTCATTCGAGAAGTAAAGTTCAATTAGATTCTATTCAGGCATCGACAATTCTGGCAATGGCGCTTGTCACAGCTTTCGATGGGCGCCACTCTGCGAACTTACAGTTCACTTTCTTCTGAATGAAGCGAAGCTTACACGCGGTGCGATAACAGGAAAAACGGATGCTATCGAAATTCTGTTGTCGCATTTCCTGGAGCAATTGTAGTCGACTCGCCTCGCCGGTTGCGCTGCCTCCGGCGATGCTGCTCCCGCTGCAGCTGCCGCCGCTTGAGCCCCCTGTTCCTGTGCCTTCCTCGGCCATTCTCACTGCAACAATTATCCGTACTACCGTTAAACGTATTCTTTTTAACAGAGTCATCTGTGTTTTCGAAAACGATACAGGTGTAGTCGCACCTAGCGAAACAGGAATGAAAAACTTTCCAGAAATGTTCAAAGAAGTGGCTTGCGTGTAGCGCGACGAGACGCAACTTCGGAATGACGCTATGCTAATGGACTGAAACTTTTGTTGTGAACGACTATGCACGTTGCCGCACGCCAAGCGTGCTGAGGTACCTTGCTATGCTTTATTTGCTCTCCATTTCGCGTGCAATCAAATATTCTTTTATCCATTTTCGCCTATCAATACATTAAAGAGATATTTTTGAAACTCCATGCGTGATGAGAACTTGATTTATGCAGGCTCGTGAAAGCAAGGATGCTTTAAATTCCGTTTCACACATGTCATATCGAAAAATTACACATCCGTAAAAAAATGATTTCACCCTCGGTTCGCTCAAACGCAAAAGGCTCGAATCACTTTCTCAAGTTCTTAATAAAAATTTGCAATCATAGAAAATTGAATCGAGTAGATAGATAATAATTTAACTACTTCTCGTGTAACAGTAAGATTAGCATGATATCGATGAACTTTCATTGGATATTTTCTTTCATGATAGCACGCATTTACAATAATATATTGAATTAGACGAGCTCTAAAATCATATGTATCGTACCTCCATTGAAATTCTGCAAATAACAAAGAATTAAATCTCTAATTTTTCTCCACCCTCACCCCCTCTTGCAGTAACTATATGTGTGCATACCCGCGCTACAGGTCTATTCGTGAAATCTATCCTTTCAAATATTGGTACTTTCAAAAAAGCTTATATTACAACGCTACGGCATTGAACGAGCAGTGTACGATGATTAAGACTAACAAGTACATCAAAACTATCTGACTGCAAACAAGCATGAAGGGTATGAAAAAAGTTAAGATAAATGAAAACGCTAGATACGAGTGACGAAGTAACAAGTAAAAAAGAAAATAAAAAATAGCCCATGACTATAGATCGGGATTCATATTTCGAAGCTCTTGTTTATTCCGATTATTTAAGTATATTTAAAATTGAGGACGTTTGTATTTGAAGATTATAAATAACATTGAGGTTAACACTGTGTATCGGATTAGTCTTATAGTTTTAGATAGAAGGAAACTTCAATTAAAATTAAAACATTAATTTATTAAAATGATCGTCTTTGAGAATTTTATATCACTGGTAAATTATATTGCAGCTGCGAAGCAACAGTCAACATCATTTATAATTGTAACAATGATTAGGAATCGTTGTTATTGAGATGATTATCTGTTTAACAAATCTTTGTCATTTTTACCAAATCGTTATCGTAGCGTTTGTTTGAAAATTTTGATCAATAATTCCAACTACATATCTTGTAAATACTTTTTCGGACATTTTAATAATTATTTTTTTCATATTGTTAGCTCAATATTGATGGAATTTGCAGAGTTTAATTTTGACGATGAATTATCGATACAATTGTTTATAAAACGATCTGCTTTGGCGGGTATTATATTATATGAAATGTATTGTTGAAAACGCACGGATAGGAAATAGCGAGCAACAGGATATGAATGTGCATTAAATAAGTAAATACTAGGACATAAATATACATGCGTGATAAAAAAAAAGGTCAGTACAGAAAAATTTACGCGTTGTTGCGATGTACGTTGGTGTCCGAGTGACAAGAGAACAAAAAATGACGGTGGCCTAAATGGAACAGCAGAGAGGTGAACGAGGAAATACAAAAAAAGACCGGACGTGTACAGTCGTCCATTGGTGAAGGTTACCGAAGTAAGCAGATGGTGCAATTGGCAGAAAAAGGATTTAGGGCTTGAACAGGATCAGGTAATGTATAAAAGCAAAGCGAGTGAGCGCCGGCGCATATAAGGTACCTGCAATAGGGAGCTCGGCCAGTTGAATCAATACAATAAGTGGGACGGGAGGGGGGGGGGGGGCGAGTCGCCACTGCTTCACCCCTATTGGAGCAGCTACAGGCTAGCCAAAGCTCAGCCGTGCACACTCCGTATTTCAGTCGTAGCAAATAACTCCGACGCGTCACCTCAACGTTCTACATCCAATCGGCCAACTTTATACAATCCTGCTATAATAACTTCAATAACTCCTGTTCCTATTACCCAGCATGCATCCTTCTTCTATATAAACATTAAATTATCGATAGGAAATGTCAATCCATAAAATAAATCAGCAACTCTTTATATCATTCAACGTTTTACTGATCCTGTTGTTAGCCATTTCAGTAAGATAAATCATAATCATAAAAACTGATTGGTAGTAAAACTACTCTGTCAATATTATTATTATATGTCATTGAAAATGGACTTGTTTATTTAACATCGCATTTTCCCCTAATGATCGAATCGAAGCTCTCTGCTGTTAATGTGTTCAATCAATCAATTCCAGCGTTATCGCTAGAAAAATTATATCTATAGATTCGAAAATATTTTAGTAGGTTAAAAGCATATTTTTCCATTTAAAGTTTCTTTCTAGAGTAAAAATAATAATAGGAAAATTGGTTCACAATTAAATAGCTTATTAAATTTCAATTGCAAAAATAAACTTGAAAGAAACGTGTTTACTTGTACAATACTTAAGTTGGTCAAATATTTTCAAAACCCTAGAAGTAATATTTCCAGCGGAAAAGTTGATTGATTCTCTCCATCGATCGTCAGAGTCTAAAGTCCCTAACGAATATTTATTTCTAGGAAATTGAGCGTTGATTTATTAATCGTTTACCAAAGCCTCATTTGTACAGCCATTTTTCCAAGAAACAGTTCTAAAACTAAAATTCTTTCGTAGCTGTCATTGTTGTTCACGATTAGTTCATATCTAGATACGAACGTTATTCATAGTATTTTTTTCCAAAATACTGATTATCTTTCGTTTTGATAAATTATCGAAAGATGGCCCTGTCTACTTTCTAACATATTTCAAGTAAAAGTACTGAGATTTTATTGCTTGAGAACGCAGCTAATTTTAGCAACTAATCTACATAATATATTTCTCACTATTACGCTCTAGTAGACTTTTTCATCATAGTTTACACTTTTATATAATTTTCCTTTAATATAGCTGATGACTTTCGAGTCGCAAGTCTTCTTCCTTACCCGATAAAAAATAATAATATTACTATTAATAATAAATGTAACTATAGTTTTTAAATTTAATCGTATTATTATTACCTCTAAGGACAATGAATCAAATATTAATAAATATAATTAATTTATTAAGAAAATATAATGTAACTTAAAAGAACGCAACTTTAAACTTGCTTCATTATTTAATAGAAAATAGAATAGTATTCAATTATTAAATATTTTGAGAGAAAGATAATACTTGTATTTAATCAATTTAAAATACAGTATCTCGATGTTTATGAGTTCTAAAACCAGAATTGTGCTTTAAATGCATCGGTGCCGAATCGTTTCTTAATCGATTCATACATAAATTATTATAACGAACAATACTTGATCAGATTTTATGCGACGAGTTTTCTCGTGTAGCAGTTGAGAAAAAAAAATTAATCGTTTGACTAATAATATTTATGCAAACCTTGAATTATCGGTTTGTATTGTTTAAATAAAAGAATTGAAAATTTGTGTATAAGTAGATAGATAGAATGGAAAGTGTGTAATGATATATATATATATATATATATATATATATATATATATATATATATATATATATATATATGTATATATATTATATATAAGCAAATTAATTAAGTATGAAGCAACAAAAGATTGCAGTGTGATATTAATGGATACAGATATGATAGAGAACGAGCAAAGGTGAGGACTGGTTAAACTAGGGGTTGGATAACATAAAGCAGGGGTATTGAGAATGCAGACTCGTGTGGAGGAAGAACCAGAGCAAAACATGATCCGTCAGCGTGCAGCATGTTACGGTTTCGATTGAAAGGCGCACGCACGAAACGTGCAATTTATCTCTAGCACAACCTTAAATTTACCAGCTCATCCCGCAATTCTAACTACAAGTACTACCATTCCTATTACTACTGCATCTACCACCACTAGCAGCAGCCAGCGTCGAGAGAGTTGTGTTCACCTGAGCTAGCTTACCACGATGCCCCTGTACTGATGCAACTACTTGGCAACCGACTCATTTTTTGTATTATATTGAATTCGTTCAATTTAACGCGAATGGTAAGAATGTTTGCAAGGACGTTAAGTAAAGTAATAAATGCGGTGATAAAGGGAATCGGTATATAGTTGTGTGCAATAGCTGGGCGTGTACGAGACATATATGCGAGTAAGAAGCACAAGTATAGTCAAGTAGAAAGAGGGAAGGGGGAGAGAAAGAGAGAGAGAGAAACAGCAGACATACAGAGGTGTCAATGAAGTTACGTTACGATGGTAGATATAATTATAGGTAGCGCGTTCTTGGTTCGGAGCTGGGACTAAATACTAAAAATCTTAGGAACTGGATACCTTATTCATTCCGAGATTGCAACTCGACGGGGGCCTAATTACGTCGCTGCTTTTACCTGGGGTCGTGGCTGTGGTTACTTGTCTCTCGATTTTACCAACTTCACTAATCACTGATCACAATACAAACCTCAGAATATAAATAAAAACTGAGTGCATCACATATATAATCGTCTTTCTGTTGCGGCCATCACTGCCCGTCGTCGTGCTTTCCTTTTCCTGTGCCATCAGCCATGCTTATACCTATCACCGCCGCTGCCGCCGTCGCAACTTGCTATCCATGCTAGCTTGCACTTCTCTGAACTCTTCTCGCTATGGTACCGCCAGATGCCGCCAGGTGCTCATTGTCAGTTTCCGTGCTCTGAACTACTGTATTAGCCTGGCAAGGTGCAGCAACATATATTTATATATTTAGCTAAATTTCTACGAATGTTATTGCTGTTACTTTTACGCAGCCATTTCTTTGCTCATTTTCAGCAAATATTTCTTTGCTCATATTTTACACTTGCTATATGCATTTGTCAATTGATTTCTTTCTAAATGCGTAATAATGTATTCTAAAAACATTTGGATCAACAATTTTATTTATAAGTTAAATTACGTTTGCAGTATTAACGTACTATTTTATTTATACATCATTGATATCGTAACCTAAATAATATTTTTTAGCAAAAACAATGTCACGATATTTTTTTAACTTAAATGATTTAATCTGTAAAATTATATTGTAGAAAGTTTTTGCAAATTTTTCAATATAATAGTGTTTGTAAATTTGTTTGAAACAAGACATTGTGATAGTAACGTAATAATAATTATTTATCTAACATTGTCGAAAGATAAAAATGCAACATATTATATAGAGTATCTGTAAAGTTACCATATATATATGTATATATACATCACAGAAATTTTTTCAGAAAACCCTGAAGTATTAATTGCCAACGTTCGCTATTCTTTTTATTGCAAAACATAAATAAATTTGCTATTGATTCATTTAGAATCAGATTTAAATATAAAAAACAAATTTTTTTATTTTTAATATAGTTAAGAAAACAAATTCACACGCACTCGTACACACGCATTCGCACGCATGCACACAGATGTGGGATTGTTATTATTACTTTAAGAACTACGTTCACGTGGAACGCTACAGAACGCATTTGTTTTGGTTCCCTATAGCCATGAATATGCAGACTCACCTCCTCGACCATTTTTTAAAATATATATAAATAGTATATAATATTATACTTATATAGTGTTTAATAGTATACTTACATAAAAGTTCTGTGTTCCTTTTAATTAATGTTTTATTTTCTTAATTTTGATCTTCAAATATACAATTAATTTTATAGAAACAGAAATGGAATAAGACTAACAGATTGATTAATTAATTAACTATATTATAGCTTTAAAAGCACATAATTACATACAATATAATAATGAACTAAATGAAAATTGATTTCAGAATTCATTCTTGTAACAAAATATATTTTTCTTGTTAAGGCGCATATTAATATATCGTACATTTCATTGTATACGACAATTTTTTCATTATGATTTTATAATTGAAAGTCATTAATCGTATAAAGTATTTTTGATCAATTGAACACTTATTGATTGAATATTTTATTCTGTAAAATTTTGATATTATTAGTTATTTAAAAACTAAGTACATAAATGTAGAAATAAGAAAATTATTTTTAACAATATTTAAAAAAATTTTCGATCCTGCCAGGATTCGAACCTGGAATCTTCTGATCCGTAGTCAGACGCGTTATCCGTTGCGCCACAGGACCGATGTATCCGCAATGAAATTAAAATTCCATATATCATTACGTTCTTAGACGTTTGTTGTTCATATTGAACATTAAATATTTACTGAAATATGAAATACATAAAATAAACTGTTTGGAACTTATAGTAATAAAAAGACATAAAATATATCTAGCACAAAAAATTTCAAATAGTTTCTTTGCAAAACTAGTTCAGTTTAATTTTCTTTATGTTCATTGACCGCTATAATGATACATAGGATTGGAAAAATATTACGATCCTACATATGATTGTCCAACATAGGTTATTTAACCGGAAAAAAATGTTATTAAATCATCATATCATAAAACACGATGTTTGTTATAATATTTATAGCTCATCATTTTTAGCTTCAAGCCATAATGATGATTGTGTAATATGAAAAAGTTTCAATAATTCTAAATAATACAGCTGAATCTGAACGGAAATTTCACCTGTCATCAATTTTATTATTATCATAATTACTTTTTTATTGTACACGTAGCTATTTTTTCACTATAAAACAATTATTTTTCTTGTGGTTGCTATTGTTTCTGTTGTTTTTGTTGTAGTTGTCGAAATCTAACAAGTATGATATCGACCATATTTTTTCGATTTTGACCTAATGAAGTAGATCTATTTAAATTGGCTTTTTCACCTTGAAATGACCTTGGAATCCCTTACTAGTAAAATTATTCTAAACGTAAAATTTTCCGTTCTTTGCATTTCTATAATCAAAATTAGGGGATTTTGTTAAAAAAGTCAACATTTCATTTTTCGTTAGTGGTGATATCTAATCTCTTGTAACTTTTTGAACAAGCATCGTAGAGAAAAAGGTCGCGAGTAATATATTTTAGGTTTTATCAAGATCTTTCGATCTCTATCAGAAATTTTACCTATCAGTATTTTAAAAAAATACAAGTGATTGAAGTAATTACAAAACTTTAATAAATTGACACTTTTGAAAGTGGTATAAAAAATTTAAAAAATGACTTCAAAAAATGTTGCTCCCTATAGAAAATTGGTATTTCTCCTCTAGTTAAATTTGCCCTTTTTATTTTTATTTTACGATCAATAGGATCGGAAATATTCTTGTTTAAAGACTGGCTTTTCTTTCACAAAATTTTCGGAAATTTGTGACCGATACTGAATAAGAACCTTTCTAAGGACGATATATACCCCCTACAATTCCAGCCCTTTAAAAGTTAATTTATAACTATAATACATGCTGTTGCGTATGTCCCCGACCTAAATAAATTTATAAATTCCATAGTAAATTAAATAATTATAAACTGCTATATTTGAATTTCTTCCCGTATATTACAAAGTATTTTTGATACAAATTAAAAGTTTTTGCAAACAAAACTGTTTCGTAACTAATCAAACAAAATTATTTAAAAAAAACTCCTTTAGAGGTGTGATATTTGAAGCTTAATTAGTAAAATCATATTTTATAGAATAATATATTATATATTTCAATTACTAAAATATAACGAAATTTACAATCACATGTTAGTCGGCACTCCTGTTATATTCAATAGATTTTTATCACTTCAAATTATTAATGGATACAAAAATATCTTAATATATATAATGGATACAATAAGTTAATTTTTGCCATCGAAACTACACACGTGTGAACTCGAGCATTGTTTTGAAGAAAGAGGCATTTTTTTGTTCAAGTGGGGACGTTTTTCTCTGATTTTTTCTTTCAGCTGATCTAATAATGACGCATAATATTGTCCAGTGATCGTCTGGCCCTTTTCCAAATAGTCGATGTAGATGATCCCATACACATCCCAGAAAACCATGGCCATAATCTTGCCAGCTGACTTTACTGTTTTGCCTTCTTTGGGGCTGGTTCTCCTGCGGTAATCCATAGTTTGGACTATTCTTTGGTTTCAGGAATGTAGTGGTGTAACCATGTTTCGTCTACAGTTACGAGTCGACGTCGAAAGTCTTCCGAATTACGACGTATTCGTGCCAAAAGAGCCTCAGAGGTGACCACGCGGGTTCGTTTGTTTTCAACAGTAAGCAAACGCGGCACCCATCTTGCTGATATTTTTTTCATCCTCAATTTTTCATGCAAAATTGAAATAATTGTACCCTTTGATACCCCTGTGGCCTTAACTAATTCTCGTAATTTTAATCTTCTATCACTTAACACTATATCGTGGATTTTGTTGACCATTTCGGGCGTACTCACTTCTACGGGGCGTCCTGAACGAGGTTCATCTTTTGTTGTTGTACGTCGCGTTTAAATTCATTTACCCAGTTATAAACAGTCTTAAACACAAGGGCAGACTTGCCATGAACGGCGTTCAACTCAACTGTGATTTCTTTTGATGTAAGGCCTTTCGAATGAAAATGTTTTATCACCGCTCGAAACTGTTTTTTCCATTTTTCAAATAAACCAATAACTTTTTGTTCAACCAACGCTCACAAAAAAACGACTTAATGAATTGAGCTGAAACTTTGTACGATATCTAGTTAGTAGTATTGCTTGCCAAAAACATCATAATTTAAGCGTGACGAGCGCCATCTCTTGGATTTTGTAAAGACTTATTGACCCACCCTCGTAAAATAGTCAATTATTGTAAAATAATAATCAAAATGATTTTTTTTATTAAATAGTCGTCAAATTCTTTAGCAAATTCTTACGTCGAAAACCCACCGATAGGTTTTGCATAAGAACTTACTTAAGTTCTCATGGTATTTCTTATACAATTTCTTACGCAAGTTCTTACCCAAGATCTTATGCTCTATTTTGAAGCTAACTGAAAACCGATATGACAATATGCAAGCGTGATTTTAGTTATTATATGTGCGTGGAAGAAAAGAGACTTGAGAAGCATTCGGACTACATAATCATGATCATTTTTAAATTTACGGAAAGAGTGGCAGGAATCCTATGATACCGGAGGAGCCAATCCAGATACTGGATCTACAGCTTGTAACGATTAAATATTTATAAATAATACGCAAATGAATCAATTACAAGAAATATATTTATTATATCGAAGGCATAGACTTGTCAAATTTGTCAATACACTAAGACTTGTCAACACATTAAGATGAGGTAAGATTCCAACGCTGTAATAATCGAGACAATACAAAATAAAATTGAACGACGTATAATATGATTTGCGGTGAACTAAGCGCACTCCGAACGTAATACTTAGCTTCGGCAAATGAAGAAACATTTATTACTTTATTAAAAATTTCCTTAATAATAGATCCATCAGTCAAAATAAACAACAACTTATCAGATAATATAAATATAGGAAATTGAGTACCCCAAGGAGCAGTAATCAGTGTTACTATCTTCCTAATCTTAATTAACGAATTATCCAAATGTATAGAACCACCGATTTTATGCACCACCTTCGCTGACGATTGGACAATATTTATTAAAGGCAAAAACATAAACCCAGCCAAGCATTAATAGAACAAACATTAAATGCTATATGGGCAAATCCCAAAAACTTTTG